CCCTGGTCTCTCTTCACTATATAGCCACTCATTAGCACCTCAATACAACTCATGCTTTCCTCACTGATCCTTTGCCCTTCCTACGCCAGCTGCCATATTGACTGACAACCGTAACGGACATGAGGTGTGTCGCACAGGTCATGAGCATCATATTTCCGACGATATTGTAGTGATATGCGGATATTTGACAGCCTTGGGCATAGCGAAGGGTGATGGCGTAGGCGCCGGATGTGAAGATTTGCTGATCACTACAGCTGAGTATTATGCCTTCTATGACGTCCGACCAGGCGACTCGTTTAGAGATGGTATCTTTCTCTCTATGGGCCGAGGAGATTAGCTGATGCTGTTGAAAAACTGGGGACGGAACCATACTTCTCGTGCTCTTGAATTCGATGAATCACATCGATTCCGGTTAAAGGTACGTATTTAAGGATCTGGAGACCCAGATACAGCGTGCTCATCAATAGAGCTGCTGCCGCGATAGAAAAGAAGACATAGAATACCTAGAGATATAGTTGTTAGCATGTTGTTTCCATAACACTCTCTCATTTCTGCTTACACCAACACCAGCGATGTCTGGATCGCCTTGAAACTCTCCATATTGAAGTCCTCCGATGATAAGGTGGCCGGTTGATTTGTTTGTGCTGACCGTGCAATTCATATCAATGCCCCAATCGGACTGGCAGAGGTTCTTCGAAACGTATGCACCCATGTTTTCAACGAGAGTTGGGATGAAGATTTGTAGTATTCGCTTCTAGTTTCAGAGGATGTTGCAAAGCTTTAAAGCCAGATGGGCTCCCACTCTCTGTACGACATCCCCACGATGATACCGTAGCACATGGACCACTTTGTACATAGTGGTGGCGTTGCACAGGTACCTAGCCCCAAAGTATTCCTCGCGCACTGCATTCCTTGTCCAATGATACCGGTTGGAAAGATAAGATCATACCACAAGCCCGGTCCCGAGGCTGGAATCCAACACTACACAGCCTTTTCCACTATTACCGGTATTACAGAGCTATTTACATACGGGCATTCGAAGTCGTGGATTGGTGAGCAGTGGGTGGTGGCTGCATCATGAGCGAGGCTGAGAGAGGTCTGGCAACCATATTCAGCACTTTACCAGTAACTAGTACACCACCCGCACAAACTTGAGTCCAAATATAGTACAATGGTGTTCTGAACATGCAAGGCTGCGCCCCGACCCGTCTTGGCAAGTGGGGAACCATGCCGGGTAGATGGGGAGGATGAGGCTGAGGTTCAGCCTTATTCCAACCTCAGCCTTGTTACTAGCCGGAGACATAGTTTGAACATGTAACAGTAGATTCTATGGAAAGAACTACAGTGGCTAAGTATGTGCGACTCGGTGAAGAAAAGAAACGGAGCAGAGACTGCCCTTAAAAGGCTGAAGAAAGGGATTATATCGAATGTAATAGTATGGAATGACTGATGTGGGTTTGACTATTGATCGGCGGTGCAGAAATGTTCTGGAACTCACCTACACTATGCACATGCAATAAATGCGGTTTTACCAATGCGAGTGTTTCAAGCGTTTCGGCACCTAGCAATTTCTAAGTCTGGCAATGAACGATAATCCCGCCCATGGGGGCCAATATACAAATCTATTCTCACACATCTATAAGGCGCGGGAGCAGCATGGCTTGGTCGCCACGTACACCGCGTTATCCACAGCCTCCACCAACGGATACCAAAATATTCAGTTCTGCCTCGACGACCCTTCTCAGATTCTCTCTCAACTTTCATTCTAAGCGGCTAGCAAAACGCACCGATTGCAACCATACTCAGCAGACCCGGCAACCATTAGAGAAGTATTTCTATAATACATCAAGGCCCCTCCGGAGCCTGCTAGGCATCATCTTCTCCTCATGATTCCTTCCCTCAACGCTCGAATCTTGAAGTTCCATTGAAACGGACATAGAAAGGATTCATCTCCCCGACTTATTGAGTCCTTGTGATATAGCTCGTGATAAATTAGCGCCATTGAAGCGTCCCTTGATCTTCGAGTACTATGATGCACAGGATCATTCGATTTATTCCTGATATTAAAGCTGTTGCAAAGCATGCGTCCAAATCCCCTGCATCTTCCTGTTCTCTGAGAATGTAACTTCTAGCCCGTCGTTCGAGACTCTTACTCGTGTTGAGTCTCTCTCCCATGAGAGCTCTCCACATCTATCCAAATTCCTCTGCGGCTCTCTCGAGCTTCTTCGCTTCTGGCACCATGACTTCCACTCGTTCAATCGAGTGGTTTTCAAAGCATGACTCAAGGAGGCCCTGAAATTCCCCGATTGCCAAATCGTAAGTATTAGCGGCCTGACTTAGCCTCTTCGCGAGGACGAGAGTACTAGTCGCTCTCTACTATACAGTTGCACGAAATTGAATGCAAGTTTTCCGCGCAGTAGTTGATTCATTGTGTTAGGGGTGAAGAATGCATAATAGCTAAAGTGGTAAGGACGTTGATGCGGTGTAGATCTCTTCGAGGTTTGGGTCTGCAACCTGGTAAGACGGCACAGTGCAAACAAGTGAAGGAGAGCATATGTTTATACAGATTAGTCCATAGCAGCTTTGTGAGATAAGATCTGGGAAAGATGTGATAATATAGCAGTAGCGAGGTACGGTCGCTGTCGTTTTAACCATCTCTCGTAGTTGCCTTTGAGAACGAAACAATTTCTGCGCCTGGTATGATCAGGACATCTAGGATCTATACACCGTAGTGATTACTCAGAATATGGGGCCCATTCACCACTAGAGAAACGAGTGCCAAGGACCAATTGGCTCGTGACCTCGACAGGTGGGTTTTTCCAAACCCGGCCCCTGACCTTCTCGAATCCCAAAGTTTTCTTCAACATCACGCCAACCAGTCGTATAGATTCTGCGCCACCTCAACCAATCTCACTCACTATAGCTGTCGCGCTAGTGTACATACAAAGCTCGTTAAACACCTCCGAAAACCAACAATGTCTCCAACAACCCTACTCACCTTACCCGCCGAGCTGCGCCAGAAGATACTCAGCGAAACCATCCACATCAGATTCGGCACCAGCGGAGCCGCCATCTCGTCCCCCGCTGCGTCCGCCTGCCGCCAGCTTCGCGGCGACGTTAAAGAAATCCTCCCCAGTTGGCTCCCCACTGCATCCACCCCTACCATCATCCAGACGCCAACCGGCATGGACAAGCTGCACGTCCTCGACAAGGTCCTCAAGCAGCGCGCCGAGTCCAGCAACCGCTCCTGGCCCGGCTTCCAGACCATCCAAGTGCAACTCTTCACCCGCGACGCCGTGCGCGTCCAAAAGCCACGCAGGAGCTATTGGCAGGTCACCAATCCACTACAGCATAGGGCGGGGATGGACGGCACCTTTAACGTTCCTTCGCTCTGGGCTAATAAATTCCGTGGAATGCCTACATCCGTCAAACACGTGCTGGTCGATCTGACGATGCCCGAGACGCAGCTTCAAGATATCGAGGCCTGTGGGCCTGGCGGTCCACTCACTCCCAAGGGCCGGATTCTGCCGTATACTCGCTGGCAGCGGGTGTATTGGTGCCTCACGCTCAGCATGATCGCGGACCTCGTGGATGAGCTCCAGTACGGTCGCCATTGGGCGACGCATGGGCGGGGAGTGATTGGTAGCTGGCGTAGGAAGGGAGAATCAGTGAGGGAGACATGAGTTGTATTGAGGTTCTAGCGAGTGGCTATATAGTTGGAAGACGGTAGGAGTGGAACATGGTGAAACAAGGAGAAGTGACAGGAGCGTAGCAGCAGCGTAGCAGTAGCGTTCTAGTACAGTATCAAATACACTAGTTCTTACGCACTAGGGGGTGCATCCAGCTGCCATACCCCCCCAGGTTGTAGCTGAACGGTAGTGAAGCTGTAACCTGTATAGATATATAGGAAATGTGATAGGAAATTGGAAATAGTAGGAAATCTACTGCGTAGCCGTATGTCAGCGTTGAATCTTGTGTTTGATGTCTACTAGGCCGATCTGTTCGACGAATTTCTCGTGCTTCTGGCGATCTAGGGCCTTGGTGAATCCGTCCGCAATCATGGCAGCCGTAGGTGTCCATTTGATGTCAATTGCTCGGCGTTGTACTTGCTGGCGTAGCCAAAGATGATGCACGTCTACGTGTTTCAACTTGGTTTGTAATTGTGGCCCGCGTGTAGTGAGAATTCGGATAGTTTGGGCATTATCGCATTCGATGGCATGGGGTTCATCTAGATCTAGCTGTAGGCTAGTGAATAGGCGTTGCCAACGGATAGATTCGCTTCCAG